AAGGAACCTTTAGAGTTCTTCCAGGACCTAAACCTGCCAATGTCTTCTATGTGCGTCGGCCTCGGACTTGAAACGTCAGCCATAATGGCCCTGCTCCAACAAAACATCCAAAGCTCCACTCTAAAATTCGGACTTTCTAGAAGCCCACGAAGACCATTGTAGCCCTAAACCTTGAAACCTGAAAGCTGTAACGAACAGATCCAAGGCTCATAAGCTAACCTCGAACAGCTCAGCCTCAAAATGCTGACTACAAGCAGCTATTGCCTCATTCATTAAGATTTCGGTCTGGGGCTTTTGGTGCGTAGATTTCAGTACAGGTTTCTGGTGTTACAAAGTATATAGGCTGAGGGTGTCGGACGTCCTTCCAGGCCAGAAGTGGCTGAAGGACCAAAAAGGCCTGGCAAGGATTTTGTCAGGGAGATTCAGGGAGGCCTCATCCCCAAAAACGTTTTTTAAAAAGTTGGCCAACACGTTCCCTCCGCTACTTATGAGCACCACCCATGCTCACACCCTTGGGCCTACAGTCCCCAAGCCGAAGTTCTGCTCCCCATCCGAGATTTCTGGGCTTGGGTTCAAGAACATGAGCCCTGCAGGTCCCTGAACCACACCAAAGACAAAGTATCTAGGTCTCTTACGACCCTTATCCGATTTAGGGAGTTCGGGTTTGAGGACGAGGATCGGACATGCTGGTTGCCGCAGCACGCAGTGAAAAGCGCCTCCCCTGGATCCCGAGCGACCCGACTGCAGACTGAGAGTTGCAGGGCCAACTCTAATGTCTTCTTCAGCCCTCATCCCTCAACCCTGAACCCCTAAACCCCACAACCCCACAACCCCACAACCCCACGACCCCTAAACCCCTAAACCCCTAAACCCCTAAACCCCTAAACCCCTAAACCCCTAAACCCCTAAACCCCTAAACCCCTAAACCCCTAAACCCATCTCAGGGCTTAGTATCCCGGCTTGGGTTGAAGCGCCAGGTGCATCCGGATGATCCCACAAGACTTTATAAGCTTTAATGCCGACCCTAAATGCAGCCCGTCACGGGCCTCGAGCTGCTGCACCGTAAGCATCGTCCAGGGAAGTGCGAAGTTACCACCACCTACAATCTCATTTTCGGGAGCTCGGGGATTGGGTACAAATAACTAATCATGCTTTTGATGTGAGGTGCTTTTGCGGAGGTGAAGGGCTTCGGATGCAGTGGGTTGCGCTTACTTCAGGGCGCAGGACACGATGGGTGGCCCGAATGAACCCTGAAGACTCTCGAGAGCCCTTGACCAAACCTCAACCCCGAACCTCAAGACTGCAGGTTGTGGCGCCGGTTTTCGGGGGCCCCCAGTGTCTGGACGAGGCAACTGGAGCTTTGAATTGAGGTTTACGGCCTTTTAAGGTTTCATGGGTTGAGCCCTGGGCTCGAGGCTTCGAGACTCCGGCATCTAGGTGAACCCTAAACCCCCTGAGGCCTGGAGAAAACAGCCACTTGGTGTAAATGTTCATGGCCTCAGCTCTTGAGCTTTAGGCATTGGGGGCTTCAGGGGGTTCGTGTCGGCTCTGGGGTTTCGGGTTTAGGGTTTAGGTGGTTTAGGGTTTAGGGTTTTAGGGTTTTAGGGTTTAGGGTTTAGGGCTTAGGGCTTAGGGTTTAGGTTAGGGCCTTATCATTGCCTCTCAGCGGAACCAACTCTGGATTTAATTTGTTTGCTTGGGGCAATCCAGGGGACATGCTAGTAGCTCTGGGTTAGGGTTTAGGGTTTAGGGTTTCGGGTTTCGGGTTTCGGGTTTCGGGTTTCGGGTTTCGGGTTTAGGGTTTAGGGTTTAGGGTTTAGGGTTTAGGGTTTAGGGTTTAGGGTTTAGGGTTTAGGGTTTAGGTTCTGGGGGTGCTCTAGGGTTTGCAGGGTTTGTAGAGTTCCGGGCGACAAGGATTTGGGCTTTGGGCTTTTTGTTTCTTCCAGGGCTTGGAGGGCCTGTCAGGGGGTCCTGGGTTCCTGGACTAACTGGCTTGAGCTGCCAATTTGTTAAGGCTTTGGGCTTCTTGGCAGGGTTCGGCAGTTTGCACATGACAGGAAGCGACTCATTTCAAAGCTCTCGCACGAAGTTAGATGTTCACAAAGCTCGGATTGTGACCCATCTTAGTCACAAGTCATGCAATAGAAGCTACACCCCAAGCCCCCAAGGCCTAAGCACGCAAAGTGCCTTCAAGCGCAAAAGGGGGTCACCTTCGGCTCCGGAGCTTTTGACATCGCTCAGGCTGCGCCGTGTGAATCCTAGACGTCCTAGGACGTCCTCGACTCTTCTCTGAGCTGGGCAGAATCGATTCGTTCACCTCTACTCCTGAAACCCATCCAAAAATAAACGTGTCGGCCAACTGAAGTTGGAAACTGGAGGGCACCCGAAACCCTAAACCCTAACCCTAAACTCTAAACCCTAAACCCTAAACCCTAAACCCCAAACCCTACACCCTGCACCCTGCACCCTAAACCCTGACCAAACTCAGCCCTCACTCGAGCTCCCGGGCGCAGTTCAGCACCACGAAGATGAGCGAGCTGACTGCACCCGCGAGCTGCGCTTCCCAAGTCATGGCCGCCTGACGGTTCAGGGTTTAGGGTTTAGGGTTTAGGGTTTAGGGTTTAGGGTTTACGGTTTCGGGTTTAGGGTAATGGACGATACTAACAGTCCTTCATAGGGAGTTTCATAGGGGATACTATAATCCCTATTCAGGACTGTTAGAAAAAAGTGGAACATCCCAAATTTGAGGGTTTAAAGACTAGTGGGGTTTTGTTTGTGGGAGCCAGGCCCTGGGGTTGAATTCACGGGTTTGGGGCTTGGGCTTAGGCTTCAACATTCCCTTATACGCCCGAAGCCGTTTCTGGGTCAAGTTGTGGGTTGGTATCTAAGCTACATAGTCTGGGCCGTAGTTTAGGGAGGGTTTATGCTCTCCGCAAAGAAGCATAAGTGGAGTGCCCTGAGGGTAGGGAGAGGGCTGATGCGTGTTCAGAGCATCCAACACAGCATGCCACTGAAAATCTTAAAAGAATATGTTGCCGTTGCTACTCCGAAAAACCCTGAAACATCCGAACCCAAGTTCGCCTCAGCCCTCCGCTCCGCGCTCGTGAATCTCCAAACCCAGGCACGCTCCCTTGTCGTCGGGCTAAAAAAGCAGAACTCCAGCCTTCACAACCAATGGCGGCCATCAGGCAATGGTCATCAGCATGTAGGAGTAAATGGTCCAAAACAAGCTGCAGACGCCATAGGGTGACTCTCTCAAGGGATTGAGGGAGGGTTTTATTCATATCGAGGCGTAGGGATGCAGCAATGTTCAAGGCACAAGGCTCTATGGCGCTACGAGGAGTTTAGGTCTTCAGGCCCTTGGTCTTCGAAAAAATTTGCGGCTCGGGGTCCAAGGGGCGTAAGGGGCTTGAGGCCAACAAGCTCTTAAGGGCTCTACTGTAGGGGTCTTGAAAAGGCGAGAAAGGGTTTGATCTCAGGAAACAGGCACGAAGTACTTGGGGGCAAGGCCAACCCTGACTGTACTGTAGATTGCATCTGCGAACACAGGGTTTTACATCTTTGGATCAGTTCAGGAGGCTTGTGGCTTTTGGGCGTCGGCCTCGGGGAGGACTGGGTTAAGAATAAACGCAGAGCGAAATTCCGGGGAGCCGGTCGCGTGCATATAGGGTGATCAGGCCTTGGCTTTAGGGTCCTGTCTGTCGGGCGTCAAGAGGGAGTGTGGTCCCCCTCGCCCTAACCCCTAAACCCCAAACCCTAAACCCTAAACCCTATGAAAACCCAGATGCAGCATCGTTTGTTGTGGCGAATCTTGCGCTCGCTGCCAGGTCTGTACCACTCCGGAGGCAGCCGGGAACGTGTCCCGCTCACCGGAGGAAAAAGTTGGCCGCCGCGGCTGAGCCGAAGCAACACAAGGGCCTGGGTCGGTTTACGGTTTAGGGTTTAGGGTTTAGGGTTTAGGGTTTAGGCTTAGGGTTTAGGGTTCAGGGTTTAGGGTTCAACCAAGGGCTTAGGGAGTAGGGTTTAGGGTTTGGGGTTTAGTGTAGGGTTTTGTTTAGGGTTCGGGTTTGGGGGTTCAGGGTTGGAGGGGGAGTGCTTGAGTGCTTTCAGAAATTGTCTCGGAGTTCAAGTAGTTTCGGAGCTTGATCATGCCTTGGGCTCAACTTCACCCGAAGAGACTGCAGCCAATTCAGACCAGGCAACGACAAATCGAAAGAGCGAAAGAACGCGTGTAATCACCGTCGTTTTCGGCTCGCTCTGTGGCTCTGTGTCTCCCACTACGATCTTCGTTGATCGCAACCTTCGGACGCAGTAAGTCCTTCAAACGACAACACGCTAAGTCATAAGGTCCTAAGTGTTAGTGGGGATCCTCTGAGGTCTGGACAGGCGGTGCGTAGATGAGGCAGTCGTGCAGAATTCATGATAGCTCGCAGCTGTTCCTTTGAGTCCAAAGCCGAGGCTTGTGTAAACATCTTCATTAAACGCTTGAAGGAACTTCCAAACATTGCCCTCAAGATGGGCAGCTGAATCACTTCCACCTGTGAATGCGGCCCGACTAACATCTGACCAAGCCTCGTGGTACTGCATGAAGTTATGATCTCAGATGTGGAGACTTCCTCGCCCCAAAGAAAGTGGTTTTCAATGCCCAACTGAGCCCAAAAGCTGCCAACATAACCGCGAATGTTTTGTGCCCCCCCCCCCCCCCCCCCCTCCCCCCAAACCCGGAAAATGGCACCCTGCACGGAAGCAGCTCCAAACCCAAGCTTAAGCCACACTGTAGATCCTAAACTGCAGCTGGGAAGTGCTCTGCATTGCAACGGAAGTGCTGAAGACCCAAGTTTCAAGTTCGATACGCTGGAAGGACAAAAAATTCTTCTTGACGGCCATTTAACTTCACCATTGTGCATAACAAGGCTCAACTAATCAAACCTCAACACCTGCAACATTCAACTGCTAATGAATGGTCTGGTAAAAGCAATCCGCCTGGCCGAGGGGCGCAGCTACTTCGCCTTCGGCAGACGGACACCGAGAGCCTTGTTCCTGGAAACAGCGCGAGGGTGCAGTTCAGATCCCCCCGTGACCCCACGCAAGTTACAAGCCCTAGAAAAGCCAGCGGTCTGTGATGGGACATGGAAAATTGAAGTGGCTCAATAGGCACAATTTTGGGATGTTCCCCCTGATACTAACAGTCCTTAATAGGGATTCTAGTACCCCCTATCATAATCCCTACTAAGGACTGTTAGTAAAAGGGGGGAACAACTCAAGGCACCTTACAAACCTTGGGAGCTGCCGAGATTTGGGCCTAAAGGCCTTAAACCCCGCGGGAGCCGCTGGACCTCTTTAGTGATAAGCACTTAAGTAGGCTTAGAACATCCTCCCCAAAGAAATATAAAAAAACTAGGTGCACGGAGTGCAGGGATACTCACCGGGAAACAGTGTTGGGACATTTGGGGCACTCTTGAGACTCTCGGCGAGATTTTCTGAGGTGGGGCGAGGGCAACCCAGGAACGCATTGCCTTGCGGGATTCTCGACAGGATACTCTGCAGGATGTTCTTTGGATGGGCATTTCGGATGCTCTCGTGGCATTCTCTACCGCAACGTCTGTGCGTCGGGAAGAGCTGTGTAAAACTCTAGCCACCCACACCCAAGGTAGGGAAGAAGGCTGCAGACACGGCACGGGTTGTGCTTGTCCGAAAAAGCCCCCAGCAACCACAGAACAATGAGGGCTTCAGGCAACCGCAGCCAAGATGCAGCTTGTTGATGATGGCGCCATTCGGAATGGCCTCGCAGTTCGTACTCAAGAGTCCAAGGCAGATAAGGGAAGTAACTCGCCTCGCCGATTTGAGCCCAAACCCTAATCTCCAACCTGAAACTTGTTGAACTCCAAAGCCCCTTTGTATCCCTAAACCCGTCAGCATCTGCCTTGCCAGACTCATACTCGTTGATGACGCTGCCCTGCGCACAGCTCCAGGTTGGGATCGGATTTGCTTCGGTTTTCCCACTGCAGCTTGGGCTGCTTCCTCAAGCGCCCAAACTCGCAGATTGGCATTGTGCACCCAAAAGCCGCAGATTGGGATCGCAGGTATCTCTGTATTCAAGCACCATGGGTGCTTAGGGTCATGACCAATGTACGTCGTCAAGGGCTTCTTAAATGAGCCTAAACCACCACAAACCCACCCCGAACCCTCGGCGTCCTTCTCGTTGATGGCTGTTGCTAGGGCGGTCTGCGTCATCTTCTTCGCCAGACGCGCCTGGTCATCCCTAGAACCTCCTAAACCCGGTCACCCTCACCTCGAAGCTAAAGGTTGAAGCTTCTCCCTGCCGCATCTCGGGCCTTCAGAGACACAAAGCCAAGGCCAAGGTATGAACACGCGAAGCCGGGCCAAACAACTCTCGGTGGTGCGGTGGGTATGCTGCATGAATGCTGGGTGGCGAGGTAGCTGGTTGAGATGGGGTAGATTCTGTTGGTTTATAATTGCTGCGGCTGGCCAAGGAGCCTAAGACACGTGACGCGGAAAAGCTAAAGTCGCGGCTACGTCTCAAGGAGGCTGAAGCAGGCGCGCTTCGACTCCCCAGTAGGCCCGAAACCAAACCCTGCAACTGGTTCAGATGCTGGGTAAGGAGGTAGTTAGAGGAGACGGAGCGACCTCGGAAGCCCGGGCGAGTGGCCTGCTGGAGGGCGGTCTTGAATTCGTGCGACACGGTGGCGTGTCGGAAGGTCTCACCGTTCTCCTGGCCGGTAGAGCTGGATGGCCCTGAGACATCGCCCGAGCAATCCCCTCCCCCTAATTGTAAACTTTCAACCCACCCCTACCCCCTAATACCAAATACCCCCCCATATACTCAAATATAACTATAACAGGGATATTTAGGGAGGTTTAAGATTAGGGGCTGGTGGCCCCCCAAGATTCTGCGAGGAGCCGCAGCCGGCGAATGGACCCCAAAACAAGGCGAGCTCGCATCTAGCTTCTTCGCATTGGGCACCGTGGAGTGCGCGGACCTGGGTGGTGGCGCAGCAAGGTTCGGACACGATTGGGGCATCGAAGCCCTGAGGTCTAAACGAAAACGAACCCCCAACTCCGACCAGCTCCGACGAATCCCGACCCCTCCCAACTTCCATCCAAAAAGCCCGCGACGCGGGACTCCCGAAGGCCTGGGGTCTCAAGGACCAGCCGCCGGAAAACCAGAAAGCTTAAGCGTTTTGAGCTTCAGGGTTAAGGGCTCAACTGTTAAACCTTGAACAAGTTGTAGGCAAGTCTGAGCAGGCGGCGTGTTGGTGCCAGCTGAAAACCTGAGGAGCTTAGGCTTTGAGGGATTTTGGGCCCACAGGCCTGATGTCTCCAATAACCCCATGACTACCCCTCGCCGTAAGGCTCTTGAGGGATTGGGGGGGTTAGACCTCAAGGCCTCTCATCTCTGCAGGGGATGCCCGTTGTTAAGCCAGGAAAGGGCTGCGACTCTTCTGCTAGCGTTTGGTGTCGTAGGTTGTGGTTTTGGGCTATGGTACAGATTCTGATACTGTGTGCCCCAACTTGTAAACTTTTTAAACTTAACCCTCCTTTTGTGAAAACTCCACCAACAGCTAAACGACGAACCTAAACCTCCCGAACGCCAAACGTGAGGCCACGGCTTCTTGTCTGTCTCAACATAGCCTCCTGTTCGGCGAGCAGCGTTCACCTGTGCGGGGGATACACATAGGACATAGCTGCAAACCCCATATAACCCCATATAACCCCATAAAACCATGCCATCTGAACCCTCAACCCTGGGGCCTCTGTCGCACTCTTGGCACTCTTGCCCTTTGGAGCGGACTTCTGCCAGACCTGGGCCCAGAGCTCTCACCTGAACTCTCCCCAGCTAGCACTTTGGGCCTTTGGTGCTTGGGCCGAGGGATCTAGTACTGCCAAATTAGGTCTCACCTCAGCCTTTAAAGGCCCTACATCCGAGTGTAGGTGGCTCAGGGCTTAGGGCTTTTAGGTTTTTGGCGTCACAGGATGCCATTACCACACAGCCAGCTGCCATGCGAACACACTACGGCTTCCATACCTGCCGACTTGGCCTCCAGGACTCTGTGATATTGTGTGACGCAAACCCTCCGAAGGAGCAGTGCCGTAGTACCGTTAAAGAGGAGCCAGCCTGAGCACTAAAGTGCCATTAAGAGCCCCCCCCCCCCCCTCTGGAAAGACCTTAAGGTGTAAGGCTGAGTCTGCGGATTCTTGCGGAATTCTGTGACGCTCTGGCTGCCTGGGCTCCCGGACGACCGGCTCCCAGTCCTGGCATCTGCTTCTGTAGCCGCACACAAAGCTCAGGGGTTTGGGAGTTTGGGGCTTCTAGAGCGTGTAGCGCTTGTAGGACTTCCGGTTAATTAAGGGCTTCGCGGAGCTCCAGTGCTTCAGGATTATTTGGACCTGAAAAAATAAGCCCTGGAGTGAGCGGGCCCTGTGGTCCCCATTTCCCCCCCAGTCATGAGGCGCCGTGCCAGATGTCCCAAATGTCCTTCCCGGCTCAGCAGCACATAGCAGCACACCCCTTTCCACGGAAAACGCTGGTCAGGAGTAGAAGAAGGAAAGAACACATCGGGATTGCCAACCCCCTTTGCCTATGACATCCCAGAGCAATCATTCAGCTCTCTGCATCTGGGGGGCCGGAATTCAGGGCCTTTCTAGGATCAGGGACCAAGGTTTAGGGCTTTGCTCCTAAATCCTGGCAAGTACCAAGCCCAACAAACACCCCCAAACTGACGAAAAACATCTCCTACAGGCCCGACACCCTAACCTCTGCACCTTAAAGCTTGAACCCAAGTATTCCCTAGAACCGACAAACACCATCGGCAGCACTGAGGATGTTTGAAGCGATGGGCCACTAGGCATGACCTTGGAGTGCTTTGGAGTTTAGGGTTTAGGGTTTAGGGCTTAGGGTTTAGGGGTTTAGGGGTTTAGGGTTTAGGGTTAGGGTTTAGGGTTAGGGTTTAGGGCTTAGGGCTTAGGGTTTAGGGTTTAGGGTTTAGGGTTTAGGGTTTAGGGTTCAGGGTTTAGGGTTTAGGGTTTAGGGTTTAGGGTTTGGGGTTTAGGGTTTAGGGTTTAGGGTTAGGGTTTAGGGTTTGGAACCGCGGCTGTTCGGGTTTGGGTTGCTGCTCTTCAACAAATATCTTTCGGATGACCCTGACCCCCACAGCCCAACAAAACAAGATCTGCCCAGGATGAATGCGTTATGGGACTGAGGGCCTAGGGACTTCATCATGAGAAGTCTCTGACGCTTCAGAGGCTTTCAGGTCTGAGGCTTTAGGTTGCTGGGGTTTGGGGTTTTGGGGTTTTGGGGTTTTGGGGTTTTGGGGTTGTTCTGCCAAACTACGTGGAACGTCAACAATCAACCCTTGCACCTTGCCCAGGGGAAAAAACAACCTAAAACCCTAAATCCTCTAAACCTGTGGAAAAGGTCTAGGGGTTTCAGGGCTTCGGAACTCGAACCAACAGTCGTTCAGGGAACGGGGGTTTGGGCTTCAAGGCAGGCTTGCGGTCCGTTTACGGGGATTCAGGGAGTTTTAAAGGCATTTGGAGGCTAAAACCCTACACCTCCACACAACCCGCAAACCTGAAACCCTAACCTGTAACCAGACCCTAGAACCCCAACTTCCCTTCCGAGCAAGCAAGCAGTACGATCTGGGTGTTGGCACGAGTTTGCAGAGGGAGCTGCTTGGCCGTTGCAATTGCAGCGATGGGGCTTTGGGTTGAGGGGCTTTGGGGTTCAGAGGTCGGCACACCCTCTATCCCAGAATCCAGCTCTCCTGAACGAGAGAACTTCACCTCAAGACGCAGGTCTTTTTTCCCGGCATTGCAGAGAGGCGTTACGTGGTCCTGTTTCTGGGCTACGCCCGCACAGGCACTTGGTGCAAAGTTCGGGATTCCATCATCACAGTACAGGTGGATGCTTTAGCGCAGTGTCGGAATTCTACCAGTGTTCTCAATGCGGGGTCAAGACCATGTATCCCGGAACCGGTTTTGTTAGTTCTTCTTACGACTTGTTGACCGGTACAGGGCAGGTCTCCCTTAATCTGCCAGCCCCCAACAAGCAGCAACAACCATGTACCCCAACTGGCGGACAGGCGTGGCTTCTCTGTTCGGACTGTTGAATTCCAATATTCTTTACATCTGACCATCTGGTTTTAAGCCAGGCATCCGCTATCTGTGACACCCTGAGCATGTCACCCCTGATATCCTAATCTAAGAAGATGTTTTGTACGAATCCTAGAATGGGTCTGAATTATCGTAATCATCTGCTCAAAGTTAGGTTTTGAGTTACAGCGTTCAGCTCTCACGACGGAAATCCCCAGGTTGAGGCTGTCTTTGGCCCACGACATGTTCAACTGTGCTTTGACAGCCGTGTCCTGCGCCATGCCAATCCAACTCTTTTCTAGGGTTCTTAAGGGGGGCGGGCTCAAGGGGGGTAGGTACCTAGGGGACCTTAAGGGAAGCTTAGGGAGCCTTAGGGACTACTAGGGAGTACTAGGGAACCTTGGGTTACACACCCCGCTTGAACCCCCCTCCCTTAAGAACTCTATAATCTTTCCCCGCATATACCCCAAGCGTACACGAGGCTGTGCCCAGAATACGGGTACCCTTAATGTATCCCGAAATGCGAGTATTTTTTTTATAGGTCCCACATGCTATGCAATATAAACCCGATGAAATCTGTAAAGTCCATAAACCCTATAAACCCCATAAACCCCAAAAAGCCGAGACACCCTATGAACCCTGTAAACCCTAAACAAGGTTCAGGGTCTAGGGCGCCTAGGGCCTAGGGCCTAAAGGCTTGGGGAGGGGTCTCAAGATCATCATATATAGGGACTTCCCAAGATGTGGCTTGAGGCACTTTTGCATAGATAGAGGTGCTCTGACAAACTCTGACAAAACAGCAAACTCTTTTGTTCCAGTGTGTTTCTTGCAGCACCACGATGGACTACGAAGGACGACCCTGGGGTCCAGGGCCATCCAAGCAGATGCTGAAGCACAAGCGTAGGCGCAACAAGCACTTCGAGGAGGGCTGTCATTCCCTCACGCGACCCACGCGACATACGTATGGTAGGATGGTATGCGAACATCTCTCATTCTCCCAAGAGGGAGACAAGCAAAGCAAAAACAAACACATGCGAGAAGAGCACGTCAAGACTCCAAGAGCACCGCAGGACCTCTCCAAGGTGACCCCCACAAGGAGCCCAAGGGCACTCCCAGTGTGCACGGGACCCAAATGGAGAGCGCACCGTTTGGAATACCCGACATGCAGTCCCCTAGGACGAATGCACGAAGCGAACCTATCCCAGGGACACGGAGCAATGCAAGTCTAAAGAAGCGAACGGGAATGCAATACGCACAGGGAAAGCACGCAACCTAGGTGAAAGCCCGACTTGGCACTTGCCGCGATGCCGAAACCATGTGCTACTTGTCTTTGCGCGAAGTTTTGGACCCCATCCAACGCGCGCTTTTACGGTCCTGGACAGTCAGTCATAAGTGGGGAATAAAGAACCAGGGATAAAAAATCGGGTCAGAACATGCGAGAACTCGATTTAACCGGTAGTCATTGCCAGGAGCTTCTGGGTTCTGATTCAGCGGTCAAAGATGTTGAGGTGGTTGATCTTCCGGGCGCTGCTTCTGCTCAGCTTGTGGCAGGCGCGCCAAGGTGGCACGGAGCACACATCCATTGATGGTGCACCACAGGGCGGCATTTGGCCCACTTCCGAAACGGCCCCCAAGTCATGATGATAAACCACAGCACCCTAACAACCTAGACCCTATGTTCGCCTTTAAGGCACGAAGCCGTACTACGCAACCCCCACAATCTGAAACGCTAAGCCGAGACACAAAAGGCCCTGCAACTCTAAACCCTGGAGCCTAATGACGCCCTACAGCTCTCAAGCCCAAACCCTACAAAGCTCTCAAACCCAAGCCCCTACAAACTGCGCACATGTCTTGCCACAGCTCCAACTTCCCTCACCCTCCCACCACACACCCCTCCCCACCCCAGCCCAAGCACCGAGAGCGCTAGCGCCAAAAGGCAGGAGGGTGCTTGATGGTTTGACGATTCGGGGCTCGAGGTCGCGTTAGGCGGCTTTGAGGGCTTTGTGGGTCGTTTCTTCCAACCGCTGCCTCTCACTTCGCCAGCTCTGCCTCCTGCTGTCGAATCTCCTCCTGCAACTGCTCCAGCTTGTCGCCTCAAGCAGCAAAAAGCATCCGAAATGTCCGTTCGCCTCGATTAAAGGAACGGAACCCAGTAAATCCTTCTACTCCTACGGCTTCGAAGCCCCTATATACCCTAAAATCCAACACCAACCCTTAGAGCCCCCCGAAATACGAGAAGCGCACGCGCAAACCCTCGAACTCCAAAGCACCCAGCTCACTGCACCTTCATTAGGACGTGTCGGGGTTAAGGGTTTCGGGTTTGGGGTTTAGGTCCACGGTTTGACCGAGACTTCAAAACGCGTGTTCCATGAACGATTCTCGCAGGCCGGGTCACGAATGCCAGGGTTGTCCCGGCCGAAGACCATGACCTGCAGAGTGGAGGGCTTCAGCTTGGGTTCCAGGCGTTGAGTTCTTGCACCCTAAAGCCCTAAAGCGTATTGCTGCAGCGTTTGGGGGCTTAAAGTGCTTGGAAAGCTCAGACAAATCACATGTCTGATTTGGCGCAGAACAGGGTGTAGCGTCAAAGCTCAGGGTAGTCACGTTGCTTATAGCGCATTCGAGACTGAAAGGTCATTCGGTAGCTGCAGGCTTTCAACGATTTTATGTGATCCCGCTTCGCGGTTCGCCACTCTTGGGGGCCCGTGGCGTAGGGTTTAGAGTTGCGGGCTGTAAAGGGTTTTGGGGTTTCTGGTTTCAGGGTTGAGGTTTAGCGTGTATAAGGTGTGGCTCAATAGGGTTTCTAGGATTCAGGGTTTAGGGTTTATATGCGTCCGCGCTCCGCGTTCTCCGCCAGCACCCCCAACCCTAAACTGAGACCTTCACTCTAAACCCTCAACCCTGAACCCTAAACCCACCATGAGCCGGGGTGGGGCGGAGAGTAGAAACCCAAACCCTAAAGCCTAACCCTAAACCCTGAGCCTTAAACCCTAAACCCGCCTAAACCCGCCATGAACTACAGGGGGAGCATAGCCTGTAAACCTCCAAGCCTAAGCCCACTATGAACCGCAGGCCATGAAGCACGGGGGAGGGGGACCGAAAACACTAAACCCACCATGTATTGAGTACCATGAGAGGGAAAAATGGTGGGGGAGGGGGGGGGGGGGCTGGAGGACTAACAAAGGCTGAAGTCTTGCGATCTTCGATTCCCCCTCTCCGAAACCTCCAATCCCAGGCTCTCGGCCATTAAGCCTGAAGCTTCCGGTGTAGGCTCCAAGCCCTGAGCACGAAGCCTTCGACTCCCAATCCCGGCTACGCCTCAGGCAGGATGTAGTCGCGCAGCGGCAGCTCCCTGCCACGGGACTTGCTGAACCAAATACTCAAGACCTGTTTCAAGACCATGTTAAGAATGGGGCACCGGGCGAGACCACATGTGCTTCAAGCAGACCAAGATTTCCCACATCCGGAGATAGCGAGGATTGAAGGCGAGGAGTTGAGGGCTTGAGCATGTGTGAGCCCTTGCCGACTCCAAACAAAAGCCCTAACCGAGACCGCTCCAAGCGCACGACGGTCTTCCCCACAGGTCGCTTCAGGATATCCCGCGAGCCATGAAACCCCCAGCATGCAGAAGGAGTTTAGGGTTGCGGAGCGATCTCCTAGCCCAAGCCCCTGCTGCTGTCAGCCCTATAGACCTCAAACCCCAACAAAGCCTCGACAGCATCATACGTCCCGCCTGATGAGGACTCCGTACGCGCGGATATCATCGGGGTTGTTAATCACCCAGTACTTCCTCTCGAACTCATGGGCCTTTGCAGATCTTAGTTTCAGGGCTTAGGCGGCTTAAGGGGCTTAAGGGGAAAACCGTGGACCCCTTCTCAGGACTCTACACCACCTTCCAGGATTCTTGCTTCAATAACTTCGATGGAAAGACCGTGCACTCTCCTCTGGGGGCTGAGATCTGTGGCCTTAGGAGTGTCGCCTGAAAAGTTCTAGAGATTCACTCGGAAATCGAAAGGGCTGAAAGGATGCAGCATGAGCATTCACCAAGCTAGAGATTCTTGTTTTGGGGTGCTGTAGTGCTTGTGAGTAGCGATGGTTAGTTTAGCAATCCTTCAACTCCCGTGTTGCGTGCCAAGGAGCGTTTGGATCATTGACTGGGTTGATCGCTGACGGCCGGACGCGGAGCTGCAGGACGATCTGCACGCTGCGCCCTCGGGTGATGGAGCTTCCTCTATTGTGGAATATGGGGGCTTCCGATATTAGGGGTACCTTATTGGGGTCCCTATTGTAAGGGATCCTACTATTTGGGGGTTTATATTTGGGGGTTTATATTTGGGGTTCCGATATTCGGAAACCCCATATGTCTTTAGAGGCGCAGAAGCTTTGTGGAAGTGCTTCAGACAATGCCTGAATCGATGAAAGCATGCCTCCTTCAGAGTGCAGGGATGCTTGCTTGACTTGGGGGCAGTGGCCTCTAAGGCTTCTATGGTGATCGGGCTGATAAGGTTAAATTCATAGTCCGAGTTCGCCTTATGAAGCCCAAAGATTAAACACGAAACCAGCACACACAGGCACAGAGGCACACAGACAGACAGGGAGACGGGACGGACAGGGAGACAGAGGCAGGCAGAGACAGAGACAGAGACAGGCAGAGACAGAGACAGACAGACAGACAGACAGAGACAGACAGAGACAGACAGACGGAGACAGACAAACGGAGACAGACAGACGGACACAGACAGACAGAAACACACTCAAAAGAGAGAGAGAGAGGGAGCGAGACACACACGCACACGCACACGCACACACCAGCCTCGCAGCAGCGTGGGCTTCGAGTAGTGCTGAGCCACCTGTTAGCTGGACTCTGGGGGCTTAAGTTTAAAGCGGTCAAGCTCTGGGGTGAAGATTTATGGAAGACATCGCTGCTACTTGCAGGCACTGTCAGGAAGGCCCAGGCCCTAAGCTCTAAACCCTACGCGAATCCCAGCCCCCAAAGAACTATCCGAAAGGTCGCCGGCTCACCCTAAGACCCAGGGAGTGGTAGAGAATTTGGCTTCGGACCACGGGCGAAAACTTCAGAGTCCAGCTGTTACTTGAAGCGCCAAAATTGGGGGGGGGGGGGGAGGGGGTGCTGCCGCGGTTGCTCCAGGCTGAGAACCTTGCCTGATGCACGGCTGAGCTCCCACGGAGGGAGTGAAAGTGCTCCGCAGGTCTGCAAGGCTCTCAGCACCAGACGCAATATTGCTTTGAGCAGAGAAAGGCCGACGCCCGAAGTTCTGGATTTTAGGGCTAAGCGGCTAAGGGCGAATGAGGACCCAAATAAGCAAGGACCCAACAACACGAAAGCCTTGAAGACCCAAGAAAACGGTGCAAGTGCGGCAAAGCCACGTCGATAATGGGCGTGCAGTAGACTCCGGCACCTGAACCGCTTCAAGGGATGTTTGGGTTTGGGCATCTGAGGGCTTCGGCTGCCCAATGGCGTGAAACCCTGAACCGGTTCGAACCCTGAACTCTGCAACCGCAAGCCCAAGCTATACAAGCTTCCCTGAAGCACCTGCCCGAGTTTAGCGCAATCAGGCTCAGGGCAGTAATGCATGGAGGGCTGAGCTCACGGTAAACAGGGTAAACAGGGCCGCCTGGCCTGTCTCCTTGGCGAACTTCTGCCTCTCTCCGACGCGGAAGCCTTTGAAACTCATGGGTCATGGGCTGATGCTGGGGCAGGGCCCTGCAGATACCAACATTGGAGCCACTTCCGGGTTTCGGGTATTTGCCTGCACTTGCTTCACACCCTCCCGGCACTTTCATACGGTTCAGGCCCACTCCACTTTGACTTCCGACTTGAAGGTTCATGGGCTCTATGCGTTACCCTGTGCCCCCACTTATAGCTGTCCATGAACCCCAAAGTACCACATTGAAAGAATTGTGTTCATCAGCTCGCAAGGCATCCCAGCCTTAGCGCTAACGGGGGGGTTGGGGGGTGGAGTCCTCCATTTGCACGTACAATGCTACGACGGGGTTGGAAAAGATTCATATGGTTTTTGAAGCAGTTCCTCTTGATGCCATGATGTTCTTTGAAGCAAACTTGCACAGCAGATGAAAAAAGAAAAGTCCGCAAAAGAGCTTTGAAGGAGTTCATACCTGATGTGCTTCAAAGCATGCTTGCACGCCGGCGGCACTTAGGGAAAACTGGAAGCCCAGCCAAGCACCTAAAAAGGCAGCCAAGCCAAGCCGCACTTCGGCTTTACAGGGAGCCAAGCCGAGCTAAGCAGCACGAGCCAAGGCAAGCTGTACTTGAGAAACAAGACCTTCACGGCCAGGCCAAACCAAGACACACCTAAGAAAAAAAAGAGCAGAGCCGGTATAAAGCCCTAAACTCCGAAGGCACCAAGGCCCTGAAGCCTTTAAGCTCCAAAGCCTTCCAAACCCGTACAGCACTGAACCCATGAATCCCTCTCACACCTCAAAGCCCCAAGCCCCACGAACGCGGAACTGAGCTCAGACCAGGCACCAGAGGAGAGGATGCCGGGCAGGCCTGGAGAGAAAAGGGCTTGCGAGTTTGGGGCTCAGGGAGTTTTTAGGCCGCTTTTGAGGCTGTTTGGAGGGTTAGTGGTTTAGGCCTAGGGCTTTCGGGCTGACGGTTCAGGGTTGAGGGGTTTAGAGGGCAAGGAGCGGAGCCTACATATGCACCCCTCCATGGAAAGGGTGGGGCTCGAGAACGCGAAGCGCGGATGCACATAGGCCCGCTATGCCTGCATGAAGAAGTCTGTGACTATATATATATATATATATATAAGTATATAAGTATATACATATATATATATGTACATACATATACATGTAGATATATATGTATACATACATATATACAGAGAGAGAGAGAGAGAAAAAAAAAAAAAAAAAAAAATATATATATATATATATATATATACGTATACAAATAAGGGATTGAGAAAACTCAGAAGTTCGGGGAAGTTTAGTGGCTTAAGTGCTTGGTGGCTGAGGGTTTTCGGCCTTGGGGTGGGATGGGTAGGATCCAAACTGCCCCAACCCCTCTCCCCAACTCTCAGCACTTTGTAATGAGACAAGGGACACGGACAGGCTTAGAAGACTTAGAAGCCCGATGTCACCTTGTCGAATGTTTTTGCTTGCTCAAAATTTGTGGGATCCTTCGAAATGAGAGGTTGTGAAGTTGTAGAAACGTGGAGCCCTGAACGCTAGACTGGCCCCCGCACGCCTTCTTTCGACGTGCCGTGGTAGGCCACTGCCCAGCCACTCTCGTCCTCACGAAGCCACCCGTTGTCGCCTGGTTCAACGTGGAAGGGGCGTAACTCTCAAGGGATGTATGGCACCCGGGTTGGGGCGGAGGGTGGTGAAGGTTTACCCTGAACCCCAGACTCCCTAGACCTCCTGAAACTCCCTAGACTGCCTAGACTCCCCAGAGCCCCTGGACTCCCTATAGACTCCCTATAGACTCCCTATAGACTCCTGGACGAAGCCTCGAGAGCTACTCGGAGTTAGGTCTCAGGGCCGCACCATCGTCGTACACGCCTTTCACCTGGACGGCGAAGCGCTTCCAGCCGATCGGCAGATGATACTCCTTGCCGCCTGGGGCTTCCGCTTTCTTGGATGGGGCCCTTCCGGTACGCCTTGTCATGACTAAGCTCGGAGTTAACGTACCTCGGAGCACGAAGCCCTGCATCCCAACTCCTACACTCTAGAGGCCTCTGGAGTCTAGAGGCCTCTGACGACCTTAAGACCGACTGAGGCTCTAACCAGCTTTCTCCAAGTAGTTTCCCCCTAACCCGCACTCTGAAAACTTAAGCCTAATGAAAACCCAACGGCTTGAGGCCCCCAGAACCTTGACAACCTCAAGCCCTAAACCCTGAGTGTTGCTCGAACCCTCACTTTCAACTTTTGATTCCCAAGGGATTCAGGTCCCCAGAACCTTCACAACCTCAAACCCTGAACCCTCAACCCCTATGAACCCTAAACAACGACGGGCTGTTTGTTCGGACAAAGGATAAGAACGCCCCCGACTACTCAAAACCCTTTCGGAGATTTTCTTTAGGGGCGGGAGGGGGGGGGGGGGGGGCTCCGTTTACTGTTCGGGGGAAAGGTTCAAGTTTAGTCTTCAGAGCCTTGAGGCTTTGCAAAAAGGAAGGACTGTCAAGAACTGTGCAGGAAGCTTCGCCGTGTCCTGCGTCAAGGGGAGCGCTTTGCCCGTTTGAGTGTGAGGGAACCTCCCCCCCCCTCCCTAAACTTTGAATACGATCGAAAGCCATGAAAATAACACAGAGTCACAAAGACTCCTCAAGCCCAGGCGCCTCTGAACATCTTGCGGCCATCATCTCTGGTGTCACGAAAGTCCTGGCAGCGAACAACTGTAGGAAAGACCCCAGACCCTGATGACGAGGGCCTCCTAGAGCGCTTGTTAAGTGCAAATCCACACGAAATTGGAAAGACAGATTGAATATGAAGCGCACTGTCTGTCATCCCGAGTGGGGCGCCGTGCAACGGGCTTTGGCATACCTCGCCAATGTCGGTGCAGGCGCTGTTGAGCTGATTATCGGCTGCTTGGTCGGGAGACGGCTAACTGCGTCGAGTACAATCGATGTTTGCTTCAAGGTCCAGTCGGACAGGCGGGAAGTCAGCGAGGAAATCTGCAAACGGCAACGGCTCAGCTACGTCCAAAGACGGGACGTGCAGTACGCCATCGCATCTGAGCTTTTGAACTCAAACGTCCAGCCTGATCAAGTGCATGTAGTCTACTACCGGGCGAATCGCAACCCGGAAGTACCTGCAAACCCAAACCTTGGACGGCCAACAGATCCGTTCACACCTGGTTCAGGGGTGTGGGCGGGAGGGATTGCGGAAATCGACTTCCGAGACTCGATCGCCTTCTCGCCCCATCCTAAAACCCGAGCAGTCGCCCAATCCTTTCGTAGCGCTGAGAAGCGACCCCTTCCTTGATCAAGCCTAAAAACCCAAAGTTTGCACACCAAACAAATACCCTCAAGCTCAATACCGTCAAAACCCTGAACAGCACAGCCGCACACGGGCACTGAAGCAAAGGCTGAGGTTTGAAAATACAAGTCCCAAAGTCCCTTAAAGCCTCCTAAAGATCGAAGCCGCCTAAGCCCTGTTCCGCCTATGCCTTCACCGAAGCAATATGAAGCCCTAAACCCTAAACCCCAAACCCTAAACCCTAAACCCTTACGACTTTCCTGCACAAAGCGGAACTCGAACATGTCTTCCGGCGCCGTCTCGACCCGAATGCCCGCCTGCCAGCACAGGATGTGGAGGGATCTGTATCATTTTTTGCTTTGTTTTCCTTTTGTGTTTTTTTGTTGGGGGGGTAAGCCTCACCCTCTCCACCCTTCTTTTAGGGGTCAGGGTTTAGGGCGTAGGGTTTAAGGCCTAAGCCCAATGGACCGCGAACATCCGAGTAACCATTTGGGTTGAAGGTTTGGGGATTTGGGCTCAGGCTTACTTATGGGGTTTACAAGAGCTTCGGGTTTGGTACTTGATGCCTGTACTTGCCCTGAAAACTGACTCTATTTATGGCCCGGTGCCTTGCTCAGGGTGTCGGTGAACCTGACTGCACTGCTATTCTGAGCACACAGTCTGACACGTTTCAAGACGGGCTTGGGATAAAGGTGCGAAGTGCCACCCAGCTACTTGGGAGCAGGCATCAAACTCTCGGCCTGGACAACAGCTGCGCTTGCTACTGTCGCCGGAGCCACATAACCCCCAAGCCCCACAACTTAGGCCCCTGCGACCCCACAGTTCAAAAGTGACAGCCCCCACATCCGACCCCTCAACCCCGCAGCCTAAACCTCCCTAGAGTCGCTAAAGGCCATGACCCAGTTCAGCCCAGGCAGCGCATCGAAAAAGTAGCGGTTGTTGAGCCAGTCCGGTGTCTTCACGTGCCTGCAGCAAGTCCAGGGCCCAGATTTTAAGGCCTGGAGTGTAGGGTGTGGGGTGTAGGATTGGGATTGTGAGTGGCTTCAGTTTGGTTTAGGATCTGATTCTGTCTGAGGGTTTTGACTTCGAGCTCCAAGCGCGGGTGAATGGCTCGATTCTTTCAGCTGCAACACCCCTGCAAGCCAAAGGCGCAACCACGGGAAGAGTCTCGTCGTTCTCGCAATCAAAAAACGATCGCATCGAGAATAATCATTTTTGCTTGGTGCTCGGAGCCGCACCTTCATCCACCAACCTTGTAGGGCCCTCTGTATACCCAAAGAATCCCGATTTCTACTCTTCAGGAGATGTTCTGCCCCAACTAGCTTCCGGCTTCCAGGCCGCCTCTCGATCTTCCGGGGGCGGCCTTCCCCTGCCTGCGCAGACATCGCACGTTTGCGGCGCCAGTCGGGTCTTGATGTCTTTAGGGTTGCAGGGTTTCGGGCTTGTTGTACAGGGCTTGGGTTGTTAATCTCTTGTCTGTCGTGCTCTGGCATTCAGATTTAGGGTGTTGGTCTGAAATTTAGGGCTGAGAACTTGCGGTACAACTGAGGGTTTAGACTGTTTGGGGTTGTGAGCCTTTGGATGGGTTTCAGAAGCCCTAAGTTTCCTGACAGATGACTGTATCTCTGCTGCCCTCACCCCCTGTGCCTGCGTGGTCATGTTGGAGAAGTCCACGACCTAGGGTTTCAGGGCGAGCAGCCGGGGGGGCACAGTATGGGGGGCCATCGAGGACCCCGCAGAATTGGACTGCTGGGTACGCAGTTTTGGGTCTTCCCTCCCTCCATCCTCGCCTGCCATCCTCTCCCCCCTCCGCTCCCGAGCAAACCCAAATTTCCTGATTTAGCCCTAGCCCTCAAGACCCCGAACGCTTCGCAAGTGAAACATATTGTGTGCGGAAGTAAAAACTCTGTCAAGGAGGTGGAGAAGGACAACGACGACGATGAGGACCAAGACGATTATGGAGGTGGTGGCGGCGGTGGCTAAGACGGCGGTTTAGGACTCATTCAAGCTTCAGCCGTTGCATGCTTAGGCTGTATATGGAAACGCACATGGTGGACTGCTTCGACTGTTTGAATGTGGAAGCTTGCTGAAATTCACAATGGCTCGTTTATCAGGGCCTTCTTTCGGATGCTCAAAGGTGGAGCATTCCAGGTCCTTTCGCTGTGGGATTTCGGGCTTCTGGGTTTGTGGCTTTCATGGTACTGAGCCGAGCCACAACCTCGTTCTTCAAGAGCGACAGCTTCGCAAGGTTGGGACCGTCCTCAACGTACCCACCACTGGTCTGAAGATGCTAACCCTATAGTGTGTCAGGCTTAGGGCTTGGGGGTTCAAACTTTGCAGCCAGGGTGCAGGGCTTGATGAGAAGGCCTGCTCCAACAGCCACGATCACGCAGCTAGGCGGGCAAAGATAATGTAAGAGGGCTTATCGGGCTTATAGCTCAAGATGCGTTGGTGAATGGTACAGAGAACGCCTTTCAGCTCACTCTGGCTCCTCCATACTTAATACGACTTCTTGAAACTCTCTGCCTGGAAGTATCGGTCCAACTCGATCGACTCGTTGGAGGGGTAGCTCCGCCACTGGCCCTCCTGCTTCTCCCACCTCGCGAGCAGGACGCGAGTTGGGACTTAGGGTTTAGGGTCGTAGGTTTCGAGTACCGGGCACTCTTCGTTGCTTTTCTGGATCATGACGGGTGTGAGCTGCGTGATGATGCGCATCTTTGGGGAGAGACCGGTGAAGCATCCCAAAACAAGCCAAAAACGCAATAGTCTGCATGCAGCACCAGCAGGTTCGGCTTGGGGGCAGGGGGCGGGGGTCGTTTACGCATACTTCGCCGCGGGCTTCGGTTGCGGGACTCTCTGCGGAGGCTTCTCTCAGGTTGGCACTCCACGGATACTTGGGGGGCCTTGTGGGCTTCTCAGGGGGTCTCTGCGGGTTTCTGGGGGCACTGCAGGGATCCTTCGCGAGTCTCTGCCGGCTTCTCCGAACGTGGGTGAGCAATTCGACCTACAATCCAACAACCCCAGTTTGCAAACACATTGTGCGCGCATGACGGGTTGGGAAAGGATTCGGATGCAAAAAAACGCAAGCTAACTTCGCGCGGCTTTGCAAAAACTCATGACAGGCATGACGAATTGGAAAGGATTCGCATGTGTTTAAGAATGAAAGCAGGGGGGGTTGGGGGAAACGCAGCCGAATACATGACACGCATGACCAGCACTAATGGACCAGAGCACTCATCCTTGTCTGCTCTGGCCATGGCTGGCTACCGACGGCCCCGCTTGAAAATTTGGGCTGTTTTATTGTGGACTTCCACCTGGCGTTCCAGGCCTTCAACGGGCTCAATGGTGGGTTTTATAGAGGGTATCGCGAACAGCTATCTAAGCCCCAAGCCCTTGAAACCCTTTGCAGCAGGCCTCCAATCTGGTTCGTCTTCGGCGAAAGGGTCGAAGGCTGGAAGGTCGCGGGGGTGGATGAATCCTGGAGCTCCCGAGGTTTAACCAAAGCCGTGGTACGGGATGCTGCTTAAGGTTTCGGGTGCAGCGGTTCTAAGAGTTGGTGTTTGACGGGTTTTGGTGGGTTTTTGGGGTGCATGGCTCGACTCGGAGCTTCCCGCATGTGACGGCGCCCGCTTTTGTTCTCAGGCGTTGCGCATTCCTCACCCAGTCTCGTCGTCATCCCGCTGGTAGAAGACTGGGCGCCTCCCCAGCGGCTGTGACTGGGATCCAACTCTTGGGGACTCTGGTGGTGGAGTCGGGGGTAGGGACTCCCTCTCCGAAGCTTCAGGGGACGAGCTCTCAACCTCCACAAAGCGACGATTGGGCCTTCCAAGAGACGCAGAGCTCAAGCCGCGGTCGTACGGTATCTGCTCTCCTCGTGGAGAGACCGTATCCGTGTCTTCTGCTTGTAGGGCCTCCTCGCTTGGCACCAAGCTATGCCTCTCCAAAGGAAGGTGTGGAGGCTCCTGTGGAGGTTCTTTCTCAGGGAGGCTCTGCCATGGCTCCTTCTCAGAGAGTATCAGCTCTGGCTCAGCATTAATCTGCGAGCCCCTTCCATTTGCGCTTACTCTCTCGGATGCCTCCTGAAAGCAAGCGTCTTTGCCCTGCGTCGCTTCTGAATGCGGCGCCAGATGCGACAGCCAAGCTGGCACGACCCCGCAAAGCAAGCCGATGATGATGCCGGCTCCCTGACGATGCCGTTGCTCCGGAGACAGGCCTCGGCCAGGCATCTCCACCAACGTGGCATAGATGGCCACCTCCCAGGAATAGCCGATTTGCAGTGCCAGCGCACGTAGCAGCTTGCAGTCCATCGAAGCATCGTGACCCCGCGTGCTCGCCATCACCAGCACAGCCACGGCGCCTGCTGAGGCCACAAGGGCCTGCAACATGAAAGCGGCCAGCCTCTCCGCAGATTCCATTTTGCTGTGGCCCGAGGCCATGACGTGCCAGCAAAGCCACTGCAGCAAGAAGAACAGGAGCCAGGACGCCGTCATCGAGGTGGCTTCCGTCAGCCAGGATACTGCCAGGCAGAAGCTCCTCGAAGAGCCTCTCGAAGAGCCTGCAAGAGACCGAGGAAGTCGCTTTTTGAGCAAGATACCAAGCGCCAGCGCCAGGAATGTCAGGCAGGTGGCAAAGCCCATCAAGGCGAGATCCGCCCGAGTCAGCACTCGCCGGCTGCCAGGTAGGGAGCCCGTCACGGCAAAGCGCACCCAGGAGGACATCAGGAAGCCCATTGCAAAGCCGCCGGCTTCAACGTGCAGATCCTGCATTCTTCGCACCTCCTTATCCACGCTATTACGCAGGTCGAGCGAAGGGGATGCTGCGGAGCACTTGATCTGCATGACCTGCGTGGCCAGCCAGGTCATCACCACCCACAGCAGCTGCACTGCCAAGACTCCTAGTAGGTACCAACCAGGCGTCCCTGCCAACATCCGCAGGATCAATGCGCCTGCATCGGCACCTGCAAAGCCGATCAGATGCCCGGCAGAAGCCTGCACCGCTCTCCAAATCTTTGGAAAGCGCCCGTGGCCCGCAAGCAAGGGCAAGCCACCAAAAAATGCCAGGAAGCGAGTGGTGCTCAGCAGCCAGCCCAGCCCGCCGAGGCCGGGGCCAACGAGTTTCCAAAGCTTCTTCAAGCCCATGAAAATCAGTATCGTACAAAACAAAGAGCCCGAGCTCACCATGAGCTGCCTCGTCTGACTTTGAAGGTGGCTGTGCATCAAGCAGAAGAGTACCAGGGAGAAGCCCATCGTGCCAAGCAATATGAGGCCATTGGCCAGCTGCACCTTGTGCTGCATCTTGGACGAGTGTATGGGAGTGTGACCTGCGTGTTTGCCAAGCTTTTGGTCGGCTTGAGTAAAGGCAACCGCTGCCCCCTTGGCTTTCCTTTCCAGCCTTTGATGCGCGTGCTCCCTGGCACGCCAGAGGATAAGCTGCCTGCGCCGCTGAGTCTCATACCGTACCAGTCGCTTGCCATTCCCAGATGTTGGGGCCAGCGCAGCTGTGCTAGTGCAGAGCAATGTAACGACCAGACGGCACAGGCGAGTCATGCCCGCCGTGCCCACGCAGAGCGCAAACCTTGCGACATGGACGAGGCTGTGCACATTGGACAGCAACAGGGGCTCTGTAGGACTTTGCAAACCACGGACAAACTGTGTCGAGCCACATCCAAAGCATGATGTGAGGGGCACTCCACGGCAGAAAGCAACAGACACTCCAGGCTGTGGCTACTTTGCTCTGCAACGCTTCCGAGAAGTCCTTCCGGGACGACGATGTTGTTTACGTCCACCTCCCGGGGCTTGCGCGGCTTCTGCGGCGAGGTGGAAGTGCCTGCGAGGGGGGCTGGACTTGATGACTGAACGGTCTTCATTCTTCATGATTAACTCAAAGGTATGAGTCGGTAGCAGGAGCGTTTAGCGGGAAGTGCCGTATTGACTTCCAGATCGCTTGGTTTCGAGATTCCCAGTGTGTCTGACTTGAGGAGAAGTTGCTTGGGGGGCCACTTTGGCTTGGCATACAGGCCTTCAGCATGGAACACCGGATCACGGACAGTTTGGGTTCAGGGTTCACATGCGGCACATGAACCCCTGGGGCCCCAAGTTGGCCCTGAACAGTCCAAAGGGTTTAGGGTTTAGGGTTTTAGGGTTTCGGGTTTCGGGTTTCGGGTTAGAGGTTTAGGGTTTAGGGTTTAGGGTTTCGAGTCTAGGGTTTAGGGTCCAAACCCTCTGCAAACTCAGTCACGCAAACTCAGTCGCGCATTAGTTCCACAAAGTCTGTCTCGGACCGCCAGGCGCCCCTGAAAAGTGGACTTAATGTTTATGGTTTGGAGGCTATTGGGCCAAACTCTCGACCACGTCCTGAGATGCAAGTACACACAAACCACCAAGCAAGCAAACAAACAGGCAAGCCAAAAAATGAAATAAGCTAAAAGCACACAGTGCAACACAAAACACAGCACACACTCAGACAAAGAAACAATCAAACACATACAGAGACACAGAGCAAACCAAGCTCAAACACAGACACAGCAAAAAAACAGAACGAAACAAAGAACTCTGCTCTGCTCGTAAGCCAGGAGACTGACGTCCGGTGGTGGATTGTTGGCCTCCGGCGCGTCGCTGGCGAAATTGGTGTGTAACTTCTAGGGTTCCGGAAAAATCATCCAATGCACGGGGTCAAGATTTAGGATGGCTTACCCCAGTTGTCTAGCTTCTTGCTTGCGGCTCAGGGTTCCTAAGCCCTTTAAAAACCTCAAGGGCGAGCACTCAAGCCACCTCACCTCCGAAAAGGCGTAGCTGATGTTACCAAGGCGGCTTACAACTGTGCCGTTCAGGGCTTGGCAAGATGAGGTTTTGTTTCGCAAGGCCCTCCCAATGCTTACACGCCTATACCCTCAATCCCGGAGAGCGTGAGATGCTATGACAGTTTTCTACCGTCCGTCGGGGCGCTGGGCTTCAGGATGTGCAGTGGCAATTTTAAAGTTATTTGTTTCGTTGCGCTCGATTCGAATGTCACGGTCGAAACATCACCATGCATTCAGCCCAAGACAAATAACCACGGCGGGTCAGAGATGAGAGGGCATCACCCTTTGGGCGACTGCGCAAGCCGTCACACAGGAGGCCACAGCCAAAGGAGCCACAGTCAAAGTTCAAAGTCTTGAGGCGAGGCAAACCTGGCAGAAGGAGGAACTTCGATGAAAGTGGGCCCATGTAAATCCGGCACGATGGCTTTGTATCATGCCCATGTAACAATGGTCAAGGGACCAAAGAAATATGTCTCGGAGCAGTGTGTTCCTGCAACATAGGCAAGGTGGCATCCCCGCCCCCCACGAACAGGGTATGCACAGCGGCACATGAACTTGGACCCTGGCGCGGTCTTGCGGGGCAAGGGTCGAAGCCATCCACTTAAGCGTCACTCAGCTTGAGCGCGGTACGGCACATGAGGCAATTTGCAAAGATCGGCCCACACGGCATCCTGCAAAGCAAGGCATGGGGCCTCGATGGAGGGAGGGGACCACACGAGGGCTCCGAAGACGATACTGGCCCACGAGGAGTCGTTGCAAATCGAGAAAAATCGGCACAGGGTGGCGGCAGAGATCATGGGTGAAGTTCCGTTTCTCCCTGATGAAGGTCGCACGAAGCTACTTCGGGCATCGCAGCCATTGTTCTTCCCATCAGCCTTCTCGCACCCGGCGATATGCCCTGCATAGCACTTTCACAGCTCACTGCAGGTCCGTGACACGGACACCCGGCTGATTGCTTCTGTTGGCTTTGGGCTGGTCACTGCTTTATGCCGGGCAGCTCTGGCACGTCGGCAAGGGCTTGCCATGGCTCGGCACCTTGCAAAAACGGCCTGGGGAAAATTATGTGGCCGTCCGGTGTGATGGCGCTGGGCCTGAAGCAAAGCCCGGAATCGATTTGAGATGATTTGAAAGGGTTCCTGAAAACCCTCTAAAGTTGCCCAACCCGGAACGCCTGTAGTACCTAAACCAGCCTTTAAGAAAAGCTGCGCGCAAATTCAAGGCAAGCTAGAACCACCAAACTCTAATTCAAACCCTCCAAAAACCCAAGGGACCTTCCACAAAAAACAGTGTTGAACCCTAAAGAAAACCGACGGAACGCCGTTGTAAGGCCTCCAGCAACCCTAACACTGCAAAACAACCCCGAACCCTAAACCCTGTAGCATCTCTCTATCTCTCTGAGGAAGACACCGCTGCACTCGACGGAGCGGCTTGGGGAGCCTTGGGAGGCGGAGCTGGCGCCGACGCGGCCTCCTCTTTTGGATGGAGGGTTGAGGGTTTAGGGTTTAGGGTTTAGGGTTTAAGGGTTTAGGGTTTAGGGTTTAGGGCTTAGGGTTTAGGGTTTAGGGTTTAGGGTTGAGGGTTGAGGGTTTAGGATTTAGGGTTTAGGGTTTAGGGTTTAGGGTTTAGGATTTAGGGTTTAGGGTGCTTGAGAGGGCATTATAAGAACAGAGAGCGCGTGAGCATTGAAGTTCTTGTACCACAGGGCTTACATAGAAAGTGCGCACTCATGCGAAAGTCTCCGCACACCTCCGAAGGCCACCAACCCTCCTCTTCAATTCCTACTTCTCGCCGACGGGATTGATTGCCTGAAAGCCCTCCTCACAATTAGCAAAAACCCTTTGCGAGAGCCGTGTTCGGGTTTGGGGAATGTTGTGGGTCACACGGTTGCAGGGCGTGGATTCATTCAGGCAAGGTTTTGAAGTTCTTTGTCCAGGCAGTGGGTCCTCCTGCGAGTTGCCGCAGCCCATGGCAACTCGCTTCGGCCGCGAAACGCCAGTACGAAACACTGCTGTACTCTAGAAGGGCCTTTGCCTGCTCTGGATGAAGGCTTAGACTCTGCAACATGGAACTCGAGGCTGCGACAATGGAATGGAAGGCCTAACCCCAAAAACTTGAATCACGAGCTTGCGGCAGAAAGAGCTGCTGGGGCTTTCGGGCCCCTGCATCCTCAACATCCCCATACCCTGGACCCTACTGGCACAAGTTTTTAGTCTATGGCGGCTCACTCCCTCCCCGCCTCAATGCAGAAAGTTTAGGATTCAGGGCACGCGGCTTTCGGCTTTCTCGCCGTGCTTTTGGGGTTCGGCAACATTGGCTTCAAGAGTCCTCAGCACAAAAAGAACGCAGAGAGCACAAATGGCAAACTCTGGGGCCACCACGAACACCGAACTCTGTGCAAAAGCGGGGGCCTCAGCTGAAAGCGCAAGCCCGCAGCCCGAACCCGAAACCCCCTACATGGTTGAGGACAAACATCGAGATGACTGGCGCCCGAGGGGCTTGGAGGCATTGATGGTGCTTCCGAGTTTAGAAAGTTGAGGTGTTTGTCGGTTTGGGGGGGGTGGGCGCCTCGGATGTGAAGAGGCTTGGAGCAGAACAGCTCTACGAAGCGGATCTCTTTCCCAAGGTCTTCGGCTCGAAGGCTCAAGGGTCACAACGAGGATTTATGAGTGAACACCCGGAACACCTAAAACCTCGTGAAACCCTTCGAACCTCTGCATGGTAATCGTATCACTGCAATGGGGACTTACAAAACTTCTAACCCTGCCGAGAGAACTAGCCCCTAAAGCCTGACCCTACTGCCCTGAACCCCCTCCTTAAAGCCGAATCCGGGCCCTCGGCCGGGTTTTATGGGCGCTTTCTGTGCACCCTCCAAGTGCTGAGCCACAAGCGTGCGGTCTAAGGTTCAGGGTTGGGATTGAAGTTCGCACACCTAAGCCTTCGAATGGGGGGCTTTTGGGGAGTCTAGGGCCGACAGCAGGACTTCTGGGGGTTGGGGCACAAGCGCACCCCTTTGAGAGTGAACCATACCTGAGTTCTAGCGCACAACCTTGCTCAAAATGGGCTAGAGCCCCGAAAGCTTCCAAAAATCAAAGCCTAGGCCCAAATTGTAGTAAACCCTTGACCCGAAGCCTCAAACCCGAACTCGAAGACCCTCATCTTGAGCAACAATCACTTCTTAGACTTTCACTCTCTAGGGTCAATGTACAGGGTGCGGGAATTGAGGCTTGGGGCTTCAACAAGGATGGGGTTTGGGCCTTGGGAGTCAGCATGTAAGCATCCTCAATGCCTTTGCATCATGGGCAAAGCTAGCAAATACGGGCACACACCTCCTGTGATTCAAGTGACACCACAAACACGTGTCACCTGCTAGAGCCTGACTGGTCTCCTCCCTGCAGGCGCCATCTTAGCATACCGTTATCAACCACCACTCTTACATTAATTAATTTTCAATACCCAGCATCATTGCGCAATCTCAGTAGGGCACACTACCCAGTGCCATGACTCGTTCTCTTTTCTCTGTCTCCCTGTATCGAAATCTTGTATCAACCACCACCTCAAGCATCAGCATCAGCATCATAACAATATTATCATCATCCAACATATCACCATCATCATCAGCAGCAGATTCACAATCACAATCATAGCCGTGGTCGTCGTCGTCGTCGTCATCGTCATCGTCATCGTCATCGTCATCGTCATCGTCATCGTCATCGTCATCGTCATCGTCATCGTCATCGTCATCGTCGTCATTGCCATGATGTCACTCTATTCCACCGATTCCGTTGGCCATTTCGCTTGGCTTGGCCTTTCTCATTGACGGCCTTAAGCCGTAAACTTCACTCAGGATGCAGACTCTTGGGATAGCTCTGCGCTCACATGCCCCAAACGCCATTTCCACCGCAGCCGGGAACAAAAGCCGGTGTCCGTGAATCGAGCAGTGTTTGCCCGATCTGCGGTGTGAAGGGGTGAGATCACGGTTGGGACCTACGCTCGGCTCATCGGTGACTAGGACAGTTTTGCGCTGAGGGCTTCAGCGTTTCAAGGCAGCAGGTCCAGGATTGTACAACCTTCGAGCTGATAGTGTTTAGCTTTGAGGGGGCTGTCGGGGACTTCAGGGCTCGGGACCTCAGCTCAGCCGTGTCCCAAAACCTGGCTGTACACGCGGTTGCGGCACCGTTTCACCGCTGCTGGCCAGCCTCGCATGGCGAGCATGGAGAAGGTTTGGGGTTCGATCTTGGCTCAACGCGATGATTCCCAGAACCCCAACGCCTGGCATCACTTGCTTCAGCTGTTCGACTCTTCCCAGAGCACTCGACGGAACGGCAACAAGAGCAGAAGCCACAAAGATGGAGATTTTTTCCGCTGGGAGAATATCTCTCACACACTCCCACACACCCACACACCCGCACACCCACACACCCACACACCCTCAGGGTGCTCATACTCTGCTCTCCTGAGGACTTTGAAACTGCTATCTCCTTTAAAATTTTCCCCGACTAGCGTGAATGCTTCTCTGCAGATAAAGTTAAAGAGCCTGAAGAAACCAAAACGGCGGCACCTGATATATTTCACGTGCCCACATGTGGGGCTCTGGTCCCTGGCACATGTTGCCTGTGAACAAACAAGTTTCGCGGTTCAGAAGAACATCGAAGAACCGCAGCACAAACGCTGCAGCCCCTGGGGGCTGACTGTGTGCATGATGCCTCCGCTGTAACTGTTTAGACGTTCGACAAAAGACTCGCTCCGCAAGGTGCGGGGCCACGTTGGCGTTTCCACACCCCTTCCACCATACCGCTGTGCACACCGACCTCTCCAGACGAATCTTTTGATTGACATGTTTGGTGGGCCAGGACTACTGCAACCCTAGATCCCGAGACTCTAAACCCTCTACTTGCAGCCCAACCCCTACTACGCCCTGCAACCCTACACCCTCAAGCACAGTAGTAGAACCCTGACCTCGATGGACCCAAACCCCCGAACCTCGCAGTACTTCAAGGCAGCCTTCCCCGGCCGGGTCCTGGAGTTGAAGGCTTTAAGGACCCTCTATGATTATGATTACTATTATGACTAGTATTATTATCATCTTCTTATTCTTCTTATTCTTATTACTATTACTATTACTATTACTATTACTATTACTATTACTATTACTATTACTATTACTATTACTATTACTATTATTATTATTACTTGTATTATTCTTATTATTATTATTAGTATGATTATTATTGTTATTGTTATTATTATTACTTGAATTATGATTCTTATTATTATTACTATTAGTATTAATATTACTATTTTTGTTCGTTATTATTGTTATTATTCTCTTCTTCTTCCTTTTTTATTTGGAGGGCGAGAGGTAGGGTTCAGGGTTTAGGGCTTAGGGTGTGAGAGGCTGGTAGCCCTTAAGGACAGCGAGTCGCATTGGTAGGGGCAGCCTGATGAGTGTATACACTCGCCAGTGCGGGTGGGCATATTATATTGACCAGGTATAGAGTCATACACACAGGACTCAAGATTGGGGCTTTAGGGTGTGCATAGGGTCTAGGGTTTTAGGGCTTATGTAGGGTTTAGGGTTTAGGGTTTAGGGTTTAGGGTTTAGGGTTTAGGGTTTAGGGTTTAGGGTTTAGGGTTTGGGGTTTGGGGTTTGGGGTTTGGGGGTTTAGGGTTTAGGGTTTAGGGTCCGCGGATGGGAAAAGGAGGTGAAAACCTCCCTCTTTCCCTTCTTACCCCCCCATCCCCCCCCAAAACGTGGGGGGGGGGGGGGTGGGGGGGGGGTAGCTTTTCCATGGAGGGCTACCCTTTCCTTGCCCCCCTCCCACCCCCCCCCTACCCCCCGCCCCCAACTCCCCCCCCCTACCCCCCCCCTTACCCCCCCTACCCCCTCGCCGGTTGTTTGAATTGATGTCAAGCTGGCTTCAGCTCCTGTTTGAACCTTGCAACTATGCTCCAGCAAGGCCGGAGGCTTTTAAATCCGGCCCCCGCGCCGCCCGTGGTCCAGGGCGGAGCCCGCGTCGCACTAAAGCGCTAGCTTTAAGGGACCCGAGCCGCCGACCCCGCCCAAAATTGCTTCAAATTCGTGTGGGGCCCTTCGGGAGGCCTCCGAAACGGCATCCAAGGGGACGCAACACGCGGTGGTGCGCAAAGCACGAAAACCTCGTAACAACCATGGGTTTTTACGAAAAACCGAGGCCACAAAACACCCGCAGCACCCCATTAAACCCTCACGGGCGCGCATCATCGACCCTAGCTTTTCACATGGGGCGCGCGCCAGGCCGAAACCATGTTTTTCAAGGTTTGGGGGGGGTACCGGAAGCCCAAAACCAGGCGAGCATCATGAGCATCAGCAGCCCTGGCCCGCGGACCCAAGGCAAGAAAAAACGCTGAAAAACGCTGAAATCACCGTAAATACCGTGTTTTTATGAGGGTTTTCACGCGTGCCTCCGACCCCCACCCTTGATGCCCTTGACCCGCCCCCAAAGTGCGCATCATCGAAACCCACGTCCGGGGGGGGGGTCTGCTGATGCTGCTGATGCGCGGGGGTCCGGGGGCATCATCGGGCCATCGTATCTCATGGGGCTTCGTGGGCCTCCGGGCCCACGGCCCAGAGACCCAGCTGATGCTCATGATGCTCGGTTTGGGGGGTTTTTCCAACAGCAGAAAACCTCGTAAATACCGAGTGTTTTGTGGGTCCACGTAAAAACGCCCCTAAAATCGCTCATTTTACGCGCTCGAACGGCTTCGTGCCTACAAAACACCCGAACAGCAGGACCCCGAATGCGCTTAAGGGCATTCGGGGTCTTGCTTTTGGGGGTTTGGTGGGCACGCAAGCGTTCAAGCACATATATCGGCGTGTTTCAGGAGGTTTCGGATGGCCTGGGGGAGGCCGCTGATGCTCATGATGCTCTCTCTTCCTCGGTTCCAAAGGCTTCCCAAGCTCAAAAACACGTGTTTACAGCGTTTTCTGAAGGTTTTTCGAAGGCAAAACGCATGCTAGAATGTCTTTTGGGCTCCCAAACCAACCCCAACGATGCTCCTGATGCGGGTGCGCGCGCGCGGGGCGCGCGCGGGGGGGGGGGGGGGGGGAGGAGCAAGCATAGGCTAACCCCACACCTCACATTCCATACTCCCCCCTATGCTTTGACCCCAATTCTCTAACCACCTAATAAACCGACCTTCCTGATACAACCCAAACCAAAAGCACTACCTACATCCACCACCTTACCACAATCCTGACCCACAAAAACCGAAAGCACCAGCTAACCCCACACCTCACATTCCATACTCCCCCCTACACTTTCACCTCATTTCTCAAACCGCCTAACACTTCAACCCTCAAATCCCACAAAACACAAAGCACCTCCCAAAACCAATGCAACAATCCCGAAAACAAAGCAACCTACCAAACCCAATACAACAATCCAAAACACAATCCAAAACCCAAAGCACCTAAACAAATCCTGCCCTCAACCATAAAATACCCAATATCCTAACATGAGGTGTGGGGTAAGACCCTAATAGCAAAACCCCCAAAAGACTATAACCCCGTCGCTTGAATGAAATGGCATAAAATAATAACTACTGTGAAAAATAATTATTATTGTATGTTGTAAAATGCAATATTCAATACGCTCTCTCTTGGTCGTCAAACTTAATCTCATAATATTCTAATGTCTCTTTCTTTGGAAACTTAATGTCCTTGTTATTCAGTTTATTAACATAAACATTTCTCTTATTCTTATAAATATCACTATCTTTATCCATTGGTTTTTTAATTTGTTTAGGTTTCTCTTCGTTAAGTTTATTAACTGCCTTTTCAATTAGTTCTAACTTATCCAATATCTTTTGAAATCGCGTTGCCTTTGTCTCTTTAACCTCATCGTCTACATCACTCATCTTACTATATAAAAGTTTTAGATTAAAACTTTTTTCTAAAAAGTTTTAGTCTAAAAGTGCGTTTAAATATGTAGTTAGACTACAATTTAACATATGCCATTTTGTGTTTATTCATACTGTCTAAACATCTCCTACATAACTTATTGTATTCTATGTTTTTGTTTTTACTCTTGAAATATTGATGATTTCTACATATCTTACAACTCGGACAATATCTTATGTTATCTAACTCGCTTTCACAATCGCATTTATCATTAACATAAAACGATACAATGGTTTTTTCTACATATCTAACCATATACTTAATTGATTTTTTATAATAATTATTATAAAAACCAATTCCTTAATGCTTTAACGAAACTAATTAAGCACCTGCTTATGAGATGCTATTGAATGTTCAATCATTTACTTCCCCCTTTCAATGAGACCATTCAATGTGAAACGAAAGGCGTTAGGGGTCTCTCTTCCAAAATGGCATACTTGCCCTGTCATATTATTTAATGACTAATCTTTTAAATATCAATCCATCATATTCAAGTTATTTTTTAATACATTAATATCTTTCTTAACTTCTTTCATATCTTCCCTTAGTTCTTCTAATTGCTCTTCTGTCTCTTCTGGTGTAATTTGTTTTCCTGTTCGTCCAAAACCTGTATCGCATATAGATATATCGCCTAACTGTATGTTGTCGTTTGTGTTCTTGAAGATTTCATCTGATGGAGTAATTCCCCTTCGTTTTCCCATTGAAAAGGATGACCTGTCTTCAACAATTGTTATAACTTGTTTGTTTTCATCTTTTGTATGCGTTGTTTCTTTATGATATAAATGTTTTCTACACCTACACGGGAGACAGCTGAGACTATTAGGTGTTAATGAAAACCCGCCGTCTTTTTCATTCTTGTCGTCCATTTACATTATTTAGATTTTATTTTAAAATGTTTAACAACTGCTTTCAGTATCTCTAACACATTATAGCAACATCTACGGTATTTAGAAGGTGTTATTATTTGCTCTATCTTCTCTATCTCGTCTATAACTTCTAAATAGTCGTCATAATCGCTCATATATTAATAACGATATAATTTTTCTATGTATTAATAATAATGTCGGATATACCAATTGTAAAACCCATTAATGTAAAAGAATACGATTTTAAACAATCTAAATACGAAGTAGCACCTAAACTACCTTTTAGTCAAATAATAATTGGCCCTTCAGGTTCTGGTAAAGGTATATTATTACAATCAATGATATTGGATATTTATAGGGGTGTCTTTGAAAGAATATATATTTGGTCTCCTTCAATTTCAGTTGATAGTAATTGGACACCGGTTAAGAAATACATTCAAGACGAGCTGAAGGTTGATTTAGAAAAGGAAAAGTGCTTATTTGATGAATACATACCGGAAGAATTAGACAAGGTGATAAAGAGACAGCATAAGGTAATAGAATACCAGAAGAAGAACGACCACACAAAGTTATTTTCTATTCTTATTATTGTTGATGACTTCGCCGACAGCAAGGCTTTTTCAAGAAACTCACCTTTGCTAGATCAGTTGTATGTTAGAGGGAGACACAACGCAATCAATATCATAACAAGCACACAAAAATTTAACGCTTTAAGTCCTATCATTCGCGTCAATAGTCGTCAGTTATTCTTCTTCAGGTTAAGAAACTACAAAGAAATTGAAACAATGGTTGAAGAGTTAAGCGCAGTATTGATTAAGAAGTCGTCCGTTGCAGACACTAAAAACTTAGCAGAAGCAAAGAAACTAATGTTAGAAGTGTATAATATAGCTACGGAAGAACCATATAGTTATTTGTTTATTAATTTAATGAAAGGAGATGTAAATGATACGTTTTACAAAAGATTTGACGCTAGATTCGTGATTGATTAATCATATTATTTTGAATAATACTAACAATCAGAAGAGCGAAAAGCTACACAAATTGCACGGCATACACTTTCCACCATTGTTGCATTTGCTTTTGCTCTTTAGCTTCTCTATCTCTTCCTCTAACTTTTGTATCTTTTCCGCTAAATCTTGGACGGTGTTAAATATAATTAATTCAGACTTAATCTCTTTTGTAGTTGTTCGTCTAATTTCTCTTCAGTTGCTT